ATTTTCGAATCACAAAGAGGCTTGTTTTATTGCTTAGATGGGTGGACGAGCTCACAGCCACCTGGTGCTTAGTGCTTACTGGAACCCATAGACATCTACAACGTAAATGCGCCGCCCACCTTGAGATATGAGTTCTACGGTCTCAGTATAGTTACAACGGCTGCCCCAACCTTCAAACCGAAACTCATTACTGCTTCAGGGTGGAAATAGGTAGGACGGTGGTACCTACCCGTGCGGACTCATAAGAGGTCCTACCACCAGCAAAAGGCTCAATAATAATATTAGTTTCATAGATAACTATTATCGTATGAACTAAAGCGAAATATTTGTGGTTGGCTGTCATAGAATACCTACAAATTTTTTGGCAGATGCCTGAATCTCGCTAGCGACATTTTCAATATAAGCTTACATATATACAAGTTCCGAACAACAACATTCGGACCCACATCCTTACGGATCCATCAGATCCAATAATCTTTTCATTAGACGCCTTCAGCTCTAACACTAGGAGCAGGCTTAGGAACCCCGGTAACCGTACTAGTCGAACTCGACAAAGAGGTCGACGTGCAACCTAACCCATGCAATCAGCCCGCTGAGTTTCTCACCGGATCTTCTCAGCGGGTCGCGATTCCGATCCGGTAGTAGATTCATTCGCGAAGCAATTACTCTTGAGTTGTTAGGTCTCCTTCGGAGGCGCTCGGGCAGTTGTTAGCAAATCTCACCCCTCCTGGCTGAGCCTTTACTCGCCCACCTGTCTTGGTGAAACTGGAAAGGCCTTCGGGCCACCATTAATCTTTCAATCATAAAAAAAAAACATTCAGACCATCGGTCTATCGAGCAATATCACCCGCTCGTGGAAGAACTTTCCTATGTATTCACAAATACGTCATTCGTTTCAGCTTCCGCTTTATTTAGATTAGAAGCAGCTATGTTTTCCTTAAACTTCAAATGTTATACCACTTCACAGCCCTCAACCATAAACAATATCACTACATAGTATAAAACAAAGTCGCTTTTACTGTCCCTATCCCTAAATCTCTATGTATGCTTAAATCGTTAAACTACGCAACGGATTTTGATGCGGTTTTTTTTAATGGATAGAGTGATTGAAGAGGAAGGTTTATATGTATAATAACATCCATTAATTAGTGGAGAAATCAATAATAAATTACAGTTTTCGAAACGAAGCGAGGGCGGGTTGCTAGTACTTTATGTGAGAGAACCTAAATACGTCTCTGCATCGAAGGTTCGTAGATTCAATCACTCGGCCGATTTTCCCCGGTGCGTGAGACGATATGTAAAGTCGAAACTTTTCCAATTTGTACAATTACCGTATTTGTTACCTTGATAATAATGTTAACAATCGTTTGTCGACGCGATTAATAAAAAAATACGCTTTTACGAAAAGAAATTCAACAGATGTTTCTTACGATAGTGACCATTGGATTTTTATTACCTACTGTTTAGATGGGTACGACCACTGATCACTTAGCCCGCCTGATGCTAAGTGATCATTGGAGCCCACAGACGTCAATGCCGCTCCCATCCCTGAGACATAAAGTATAATCTCATTTCTTTAGTATAAAGACTGTCCGCTATCGGAAGCATTACTGCATCGCAGCAGATATGGGCAGGGCAGTAATAAATACCCGTATATTTGCCTCTCCTCCGAAGCAATACAAAAAAGAACAGCTGGAATCGATGTCATTATTGAAAACGAATCAAATTCTAAGCTCTATTCTTCCAGTAAAGTCCAGAAGGCTGTTGCTATGCTAAAGAATGAAAGGAGGAGCTCGAACTTGAATGTCTCTGTACATCAGACTGAAGATTTAAATAACATTAGTTGGTTGACAGAAATACTTTTTTTAAGGGATTTATTGACCTGGTAACTAAGACCTTTATTAGGTCATGTCTTATTTTAATTTATATTCTTATTTTTATGAAAAATGATAATATGGAATGAAATGAAGATAATTAATTTGAGACATTAATCAACTGGGATGAAATTACATGAAATGAGATGATATGAGATGAAATATAATCTGAGTAAAATGGTGGTCATTTACTGAGATTTTTTCAGTGGACTTTTTGGAGGATCTCGAGAAGTTACGTCCAGCGGCTTTATTTCATTTTCCCACATTTGTGCATTTTCACAGATATTAAACAGGTAATAAATAGCCGTTATTACACATTTAAACCTGAAGAAACACTAAATAAACAAAATAAAACAAATCACACAATTACACTTCTCGCGTTCCCGCCAAAAAGTCCACAGAAGTAAGTTTTTTTCTTATAAGTTGTTTCTTAATAAGTTGCGTTAATTTTGACTTTCTTCGATCTATCGTCGTCGGATGTAGCTTAAATTATAGTGGCGAGCGGAAGTAAATTAGCCCAATAACTGAGAAGATTGGTTTACGGCAGAAGTAGGAAAAATGCGACACTTATTTGGGTGTACGAGCTCCATACAAGACAAGTGATTACCGAAGTCCGTGGACATCTAAGTACAATGTAAATGCCGCAATCCAACTTGAGACATGACTTGGAAGTTTTTACAGTACAATGGCTGCCTCGGCCTTCAAACTTAAAGACATGGAATTAACGCAGAAATGGGCAGGGCGCTAGTCACAAGACGTGAGGTTACTACACGATGTTATTCCTTCACCGTCGAAGTCAATCGTGAACATTTAAGTACGTATTTCATTAGAAAAATTGGTACCCGCCTGCGGGATTCGTCCACCGGTGCATCGCTAGATACAAATGCACCGGAAGTCTTATCCTTTAGGGCACGACGGTTCAAAAATCAATTGCGGTCTTACAAAATGTCTGTAACAACGCAGATACTTGACCTAGTGTCTCAAGGTATATCTTTTTTTTTTTTTCCCTACCTAAGCTGATAGCCTTGAGAGACTATTTCTGCGTAACCTTAACTAGTAGGTGAGCTCACGGGGCTCAAACCTGATGACGTTGCTAACACGAACCCTAGCAAGAGCCGTGCTTCGCAGAATCTACCACCGGATCGGAGCGCGACCCACTGAGACAATCCGGCGAGAATCTAAGTGGGCTTGATCTATGGGCTCTAGTTATACAGCAGGTGGACTATAGGCTAATAAGGTAAGGGTTAAAAAAAGACAGTCCAGTTTATTACAAAATATATTCATAAAAAAATACAACATTCAATACATTCACATCACTTAATAATAGCGTCATTTTGTTGTAAATCAAGATTCTTCATAGAGTATATTATGAAAACGACCTTCACTCGTGACCATAGAGCAGGCTTTTTTTTAAATTCCAACGACAAATTGACATAATTACTTCAGGTCACCAATTCCCTACGTGGCGATCCACAATTCAGAAGTTCTTGGAACATTCCCAGAATAATGAGCGTATCAAAATGCAGTAATTAAACATTGATTTAGATAATGGCACTTCTAGTTAAGAGAAAAAAAACCGCGTGCACGTACAAAAACTTGAAAGCTCGAATCGTATTGAAAGCTTCCCTTAAAATTATACAAGACGGACATAAGGACGGATTATATTACGCAACTTAATTAGTAGTTTAAAATTATTAAAGATTTTTATTGTCTATATTGGAAGGTATAGGTTTAAATTAAATATCAATGAGAAAATTTGAGAACTATTCATACGCATTGATGTCATACAATAGTAAGCCTTAGTGTAAACGGGAAGAGCTTTAAATTGAATAAATCATTAAACTTTTAAAAAACTAACACAAAATACACAAGTTTGAAGTTGGCAATTTGGCGAAAATACGTTAAGAATTATTATTTTTAACCTATAATAAAAAATGTAAAATAAATTGCATTCAATCGATTGAGTGACGTAAGTACTTAAAACTTTTATTTATTTATTTTGTACTTAATTCTCGACAACATAAGGTTGAAATTTCTTACTGGTAATTTAGCTTTATTCGTCATTTCGATAGTATTTTTTTAACTTAATTTAGGATTTATTACAAAGAAATCTTAAAATGTTATTAAAAAATATAAAATTTTACATTACATACGATTGAAATTTTACAAGTTTAAGTCATTGTCTTATTTAATTATGATTTTTACGAACACATTTAATAAACAAAATAGTAATTGAGGTGATTTCACAATATAAGAATTCTTAAGTTATCAATTAAGTTCATTAAATACTGACAACACTAAGCCGATGATATTTTTGTGTTGCAAAAATATAAACAACTTTTACCTATCATATTAATCTTATTGTGCAGCATAGATTATTTTTAAATTAGTATAAAAAGAAAGTTAAATCTTATAAAAAATATACAATAATGAGGTTACCAGTCTAAAATAAATTTTATATCTTAAAATCGATATTCAGACTTCTATTCATCAAATCATATTTGTATTTTATACGAACGCACACCTAAGTACCTAACTCGTAAACATATACAAAATTAGTGCGTAAATGCAAATAAAAATATAATTCTAATTGCAATACGTTCTTTTAATATCTTACTTTACTTGTAAACTGTACTTTTAGTTCATATACTCGGATAAGAGATGGCGGTAGTGTGCAGTTTGAAGTAAACGTTTGAGAGGCGAATTTTGATGGCACCCAAACATTTGCCAATTTAATATTAGTTTTTATACTTATTATAATATTCGACGTTTCGATACGTGAGATTTGATGAAATTAATATCGCATTCCTAAAGAGTTAACTGTAGACACAATAAAAATTACAATAGGTCTCTGTTCGCCTATCTTTTTTTAAAGGGATTTTATGACCTGGTAAATAAGACCTTTAGGTCAAGTCTTATTTCATTAATTTATTTTCTTATTGTTATGTAAAACGATATTACGGAGTGAAATGAAATGGAATGAGAAGATATTATAATCTCAGTAAAATGGTGGTAATTTACTGAGATTTTTTCAGTGGACTTTTTGTAGGATCCTAAGAAGTTACGTCCAGCGGCTTTGTTTTATTTTCCCACGTTTGTGCACTTTCACAGACACTAAATAGTTAATAAACCACCGTTATTACATATTTAAGTCCGAAGAGACACTAAATAGACAAAATAAAACAAATCACACAACTTCACTGCTCGCGTTCCCGCCAAAAAGTATGTCCGCCTACTGAATTGTGTATTAAGGGCTTGTTAATAAAGCATGATGGCTCCGTTGACTTTTTCCTCTAGTGCTGGTGCTATCGTGTCGGCGTCCCGTCCGTCGGCGGTGGCTATCAGTATGCAGACGTCATTGACGAAGGCGGCTATGGCGGCCGCAACGACCAACCTGGAAGACAATGAATTTGCGAGGAATAACATCGTGTAATAAAAATACAAACCTGCAAAATTATAATTTGCGTAATTACTGGTAGTAGGACCTCTTGTGAGTCCGCGTACCACCGTCCTGCCTATTTCTGCCGTGAAGCAGTAATGCGTTTCGGTTTGAAGGGCGCGGCAGCCGTTGTAACGGAGACCTTAGAACTCATATCTCAAGGTGAGTGGCGGCATTTACGTTTTAGATATCTATGGGCTCTGGTAACCAATTAACACCAAGTGGACTGTGAGCTCGTCATCTACGCAATAAATAAATAAAAATTCGTCGGATTTTCATTTCAATCACTTTTCATTTATTCGAAACTCTATCGCAAGACGTTGATGTGAAATATCTCACCAGAAAGAGATACCCAGATCCGCCATGCCTTCAGAGGACCAGGTTTGGGCGAGGTCAGCGTCCGACATGACGTTGTGCTGCAGCCTCAGGAAGTATTCCGTCAGCCACACAGCTATGGCTCCGAGGGTGAACAGCACTGAAAAGATATAAGGATTGAGTGAAGGAATCAATGAACCAATCATCTTACATTTTTTCTGTTGTAGAGTAGACCGATTTAATTGGACCGAAATTTGAAGGTTTGATTGTGCACTCTTTTCTTTCTAGTCCTTACACGATCAACGTACAATTAGAACATCGTAATAGTTGTATGTAGTTTAATTTTATCTACGATTCGCGAAAACCGAAGGAGTTACTGTATCTGTCTTATTTTTTATTGTACTCATTTATTTATACGCAATGGAATAAATTTTAAATGAATAAGAAAAATTTAAGGCGAAAACGGTCTTTTGCCATCACTATAGTATAATTTTTTTGTCCATGCAGTTTGGGTCATAAAAAATCGGAGCGGTAAAGCGAGTATTTCCCTCTCTCTTCCACTCACGAGCCTTCTGGACGGGCATAGTGAAGCGCATTATTGTTGTCGATAAGCGTTATCGATAGCGTATTTAGTTTTGTCATTTTGTGAGCTAGTGATAAAAATGAAAGAAAAAATCACTAATCGAACACTTACACCAATATTTACAATATCGCCGCAGCAAATTAACGAGAACGGCAGAAATTAACACTTTGTAACTTTTCCGGATCCATACTCATTTCAGTGAAAATTTTTAACACATTGTTGATAACAGCACATGCTTGTGCTGGTATATTTTTGCCAACAAGCAAAATATTTGAATAAATTCTGCCGTTTTGGTACAAAACAAAGGAGTAGCCATTGTGTCACTGAAGAAATTCAGAGAGCGAATGCACAAAATCATATTTCTCTTCGACATATGTACTATAATTTGCAGGTAGGTACAACAAATGACTCATAACATAACAATGTCTCACCACCCTTCGTATACCACCCCGCCGCCGTGTACCTGCCTTCGATGACTCATTTGTTTTTATCGATAATGGCGTTGCGCCCGCGCAACATGCTCACCGCCCTAGCCGGGCTATGGTTTATAACCCAAACTGCACGGACAAAATAATTCTACTACAGTGGTCCCGCAGTAATCGAAATTCGACTATAATTAATTGAAAATATAAGTCTGAACATTATTATGATTCTATTGTCAAAAACTATCCAAGTGTAGTTTTTTGTATTTAATGTTTCGCATTGTTTCTTTCGTTGGTGTACAATAAAGAATACTATTACTCTCTCTCTCTCGCATATAGGAATTGACATTTAATCGAAGTATGATCGTAAGCATAGTAATAATTGAATAGACTTACCAGCCAACGTGTTCCCAACTAGGAGAGGCTTGGGGGAACATCTCGTGCGGGCCGCAGACCCTAGTGCCGCTAATACACACGACCCGCCCGAACAGAGCAAGGCTGCGCCCAACAGCGCCGCTGTGCCACACCACGCCCAGCGACGTGCTGGATGATTACCGGCTTTCACTGTAATAGAAGCAAATGGGTAAAAAATTTAACTGGCTCTACAGTAAGACATTGTATTTGTCGCGGAGAATCCTCTGAGGAATACTTTGATGAGCCCCTCATTGTCTTTTACCAACGCACCACCAGTCATCGAAGCAGAATATATACCAGCGGTCGGGGAACCGGGGTAAATTACCCCAAATGGAGTAAATTACCCCAAATGGGGTAAAATGACATTTTGGGGGTAAAAATTAAACTTTTGTGAGTAAAAAGTGAAATTGAAGTGAAACTTCTTTAGAATCGTTAAATTTTTAGTTATTGTTTTCTTTTCAAAATTATCATGGGGGCTATAATATGAAAGATACTAAAAAGAAGCGATTTCGGGTAATATCAACTTACACAAAAATATTTTGGGGTAATAATTAAAAAAGTTTCCCGACCGCTGATATATACCTACTAACTGAAAATACTGTGGTTTCCCAAAGTGCGTTTCTAGAGATACTTATATTTTTGACCTCTTCTATCATAGAACTTCTCTACACAGTAATACTTGAGTGCTATGAAAAGTCATTGAAACTAAGATTGATAAGAGTCCTTAGCCGTGGCCACTTACCATAACGCAGGCCATAAGCTCATCTGCCTTGGAAATTAATATGAAATAATGTAATGGTAGCTAGGGATTTGTTTTTAAATACTTTCAGCCAGTGAAAATTTAAGCACTTATTAGCAGCAAATCAACATATCAACCAATATCATAAGGTTTTCTGGGCAATAACAAATAGGCAAGATGGTAGGGTAGACACAGGTCTATATGAGATCAGTGGGTTTCTATTATTTAACGAAATAAAAACATCAAAAAGCTTTTAATTAATGTACTAAATAGGCCATGATAATATGATTGGAGTCTAGTTTAAACAGACTAAAAAAAAACTTCAGCAATAATAATTTGAGAGTACAGTACACTATCTAAATTATGGTCAATGAACTAAAAGAAATGCTAACCGTTTTGTGAGACATCTCTATTAATTATGTAAATACATTTTAAAAAAAGCTATTAAAATACAGTAACTAAAAACAATACACATTTAACAATTCCAAGCAAGAATATAAAGACAAAAGGAATAAGAAAAGCGGAAAAGCCTAAAAGTATTTTTATAGCAAAATAGACGGTAGTTGTCCACAATACTAAAATGTCGACAAACAAACCACCTCAATCGTCCTTGACCATAAAAACTGTAAAATATTCGAAACGTGGAAAATAACAACATGTTATTACAAACAATAATAAACGCGAGATTAAATCTTACAAATACTTCTAATTCATTATACTAACTGCGACCTAGAACGTAGCTCAGAACCGAATCGGCCTAGTGTGACCCTGTGTAACATATACACAAGTCGAATCGACCAATATTAGTCGCGAAACTTTCATTAAAATATTAAGAAATGAAGGCGTCTAGCCAGGACCGGATTTAAGCTGAATGCCGCTCCCGGGCACCGGAAAAAGATCCGCCCCATTAATGGAATTTTACTTATGCTTACCGTTATTTTATTTTTGATAATTTAAATATGTATTTTATTGCAGAAACTTTATTAGATCGTTGTCTCTATATCGGGCAAGGATAATAAGGCACGTGTTCAGTTAAGTGACTAAAGTATATTGGGATTACAACCTAACGTGCTATCGACAACCCGACAATCCCGAGACTCACCTATCATCACTGCAATATAATAATAACTGCTCACCCATATATATTAATAGTTGCTATGGGGACATTTGTGGTCCCTACAAGATGTTTTATATTCCAAAAACATAAATAAAGATGTTTTTTTTTAATTTTTGTTTATGTTGTTGTGTAGGCAGCGGCTTGGCTCTGCCCCTGGAACTGCTGAAGCCCATGGGCGACGGTAACCACTCACCATCAGGTGGGCCGTATGCTCGTCTGCATACAAGGGCAATAAAAAAAAGAAAAAAACTTTCAAAAATTTGCCAGCCTAAAAAATTTGCCGTCCTGGGCACTTGCCCCGACTGCCCCTAGTGTAAATCCACACTGCGTCTAGTTTTTGTCTGCAGTACGGCATATCTGCCATTATGTATTCAGATTTGAAGTATACTACAGTCTGTATATGAATGGTGTTAAAGCACGTGTCATGGGTTCTAGTTGTTCTGTTGTTCCGACGAGATTTGAACCAGAGTAAGTTCTACCTGCGACTGTTTTACCTCAGCAAATCAACATGGATAATAGAGGTTCGCATCTCGAATATAGGGGTCACCTCTAGAATGCTCTGTAATACTCAGTGATGGATTTAGACTTGATGCCGCCCTAGGGCCTGTTTATAATATTTTTAATAAAAACTTTATAAATATTTTTTATAAATATAAACAATGAACTCATTTTCAAAGGGGACCGTCTTTACTTTTTCGTCTCTGAAATTTTGACATTTCAAAAATTTTGCCGCCCCTCAAATCGTGCCACCTTAGGCCCGAGCCACACGGGCCCAGGCGTAAATCCACCACTAATACTATATATAATACTATATATCACTCACCACTTATATCATAATTCCTCCGGCCGTAAGTGACGTTCAACTCCCTGTGGCCCTCGAAGAGGCCGAAATTGATTCTGCCGTCAGTCTTTAGGGGGAAGGAAGTCTTTCTCGCTCTCGCATCGACCCAATGAGTCGTGCCCAACGATCCCACGATCAAAGCTATACACAGACACGAACCGAAAAACGTAGCGAATATCATGGACCTCTTGAATAGATTGAGCTTCATTTTTTTTTTAAATCGATACACTTTTCACCAAACAGTTACTGATACGTTCGCTAGATGGCGTTGTGTCACATATTCTCAACTTTTCAAGTCGTTTTTTTTTCTTTTCTCGCGCTTATTTTCTAGCTATTGAACTTGTGGGATTGTCTCCGAGATCCATTCCATTGTTTAATAGTTCGCTTGCCATCAATTTTTCCTTCGTTCCGACGTTTCACACGACGCAACGCGTAGAAAGATCTGTAACAATTGTATTGTGACATGTAATTGGTATTTTTTTTTAATGACATTTAAACGCGCTGGGTTCACTAGTTTAGAGATCTTTTTTTTTACATTCATTACAAGACGAGTCTTTGGTTAATTTAGATTTGGTTACTGGTGGTAGGACCACTTGTGAGTCCGCGCGGATAGGTACCACCGCCCTGCCTATTTCTGCCGTGAAGCAGTAATGCGTTTCGGTTTGAAGGGTGGGGCAGCCGTTGTAACTATACTGAGACTTTGGAACTTATATCTCAAGGTGGGTAGCGCGTCTACGTTGTAGATATCTATGGGCTCCAGTAACCACTTAAGACCAGGTGGGCTGTGAGCTCGTCTACCCATCTAAGCAATAAATAAAAAAAAAGGATAAAAATAAAAAGATTCCATTTTGATTGCGGATTACGCCGGTGATCAGTCGCGTTTTGACCGACGCTAAATACGCAAATGGAATATACGCTTTTATTGATAAGTCACGTGGGCTAAGAGTTAACAAACCCGAAGTAATCCTTAAATTACCATCAACCACATGAACATTCAACTGAATCGAATAGGCAATGTTAGAACTCGAACAAACAAATATTTCCTATTGTTTATTAACGAAACCTAGTTTTTTTTGGAACGAAGTTCCTTATCGCGCGTTGTGAAAGGGGGCTAGACGGAAAAAATTCATACGAAAAGTTGTCACGACACTTTTTAGATCCGTCATTCTGACCAATCAACGTGTAGGCGCTTATCGCGTGACATTGCTCGTATCCGATTGGTCCGCGTAATGAGTACAGTTTCTCGAGATAGCGTTTCAAAAATAGTAATTTAGTTCATAGTATTGTTTTTTTTTCTTCATAATGCCGTAATTTATTATTATAACTTAAAAAAAAATTACAATTCCTTCACTATTTTTTTTTTTTTTTATTGCCCTTGTAGGCAGACGAGCACACGGCCCACCTGATGGTGAGTGGTTACCGTTGCCCATGGACTTCAGCAATGCCAGGGGCAGAGCCAAGCCGCTGCCTACCGCTTAATACTCTCCACAAGCCTCGTTTGAAGAAGGACATGTCATAGCGCTCGGGAAACACCGTGGAGGGGAGCTCATTCCATAGCCGGATGGTACGTGGCAAAAAAGATCTCTGGAAACGCACTGTGGATGACCGCAGTGGCTCCAGGTAGTACGGATGAACTCTACTCCGATGGCGGGCGGTGCGATGGTAAAAACGAGATGCCGGTATCATCTCGAACAATTCCTCAGAGCACTCCCCATGGAACATACGGTATAAAATACAGAGGGAACCAAAGTCCCTCCGCAGACCCAGAGGCTCCTAATTAATCGAAAGGAACTTCGTTCCATCCGGGTGTCCCTTGACACCTCTGAAGTTTTTTTATTGATTAGATGGGTGGACGAGCTCACAGCCCACCTGGTGTTCAGTGGTTACTAGAGTCCGTAGACAGCTATAACGTAAATGCACTACCCACCTTGAGATACAAGTTCTAAGGTCTTAGTTACAACGGCTGCCCTATCCTTCAAACCGAAACGCATTACTGCTTCACGGCACAAATAGGCAGGGTGGTAGTACCTACCCGTGCGGACTCACAAGAGGTCCTACCACCAGTGAAGATGAAACTATTATGATTTTCGTATTCCACCATTCTGCGTATTTCGGCCGCGACGCAGTAATGCGTTTTGTTTGGACGAATGGAACCGAAGTTATATCAATCAAGTCTCAAAACTTTTTTTTTATTGCCCTTTTATGCAGACGAGGATACGGCCCACCTGATGGTGAGTGGTTACCGTCGCCCATGGACTTCAGCAATGCCAGGGGCAGAGCCAAGCGGCTGCCTACCGCTTAATACTCTCCACAAGCCTCTTTTAAAGAAGGATATGTCATAGCGCTCAGGAAACACCGTGGAGGGCAGCTCATTCCATAGCCGGATAGACCCATAGACCTCAAGGTGGACGTTTATAGTATAATGATCTCCTGGGGTCTGATAGCCACTTAACACCGGCTCAACAGTAAGCTCGTTGACCAATCTAATACACATTCACTCGTATTTTAATACACATTCACTCGGACGCTAAAATAAAATTTGTAAAAAATTACAACGCCTGACGTCAAAGCGTCCTAACGCCGCGACAGAGCGCTGCGTACTTATAGCGCTGGGGCACTGTTTGACGGTATGTTACCATAGTAGTACAACACATCTCGGCGTCATAGCGCGGCGTCAGTTTAGCGCTCTGACGCGCGCTAATTACGCGTTCTGTTTGACGAAGGCTTAAATAGTCTATACAATCTCGTAAACGAAAGTTTCTCGAATTATATTAGTACGTTTACCGAATCTCGCAACTAATTAATTACGTTTTTTTTTTCTTCTTTTTACGTAATAAATTGTCGGGGAAAGCGATATCATTACGCGCGCGTTGTATTCACTCGTTTTCATTATCAATGCTATTCGTTGTTTCTAAATAAAAATAACGCTAATGAAACTTCAAGCATTTGTTATGCATAATAATTAAAAAAAATATATATACACATGTCGTCCGCACAGTAATGCTAATTACTTTACTAAGAATAGTCAGAATTAACTGTTAGAAGTCTAACGGTTATAAAAAACTGTTTAAGAGGGCATTCAGGAGAATTCATAAACAAACTTTTGACGCACAATGCCCTAGACACGTCATTTCGGATCCTCCCGATCCACTAATGATGCTTTTGGGTACCTCAAGCACCAGTCACCGTTCTCGTCGAACCCGTCCCTTGCGACGAAGGGTTCGGCGAGTGAATTAACCCATAGACACGGCCCACTGAGTTTTTCGCCAGATCTTCGGGCAGTGGTGGTAGATTCTGGGAAGCACTGCTTGCTAGGGCCAGTGTTAGTAACGCCTCCTGGTTTCAGCCCCGAGAGCTCACCTACACATTAGGATTACGCTGACATAGCCTCTCAAGGCTATCAGCTTAGATAGGAAAAAGAAAGAAGTACACAACACATTCCGGCTGAAGCAGCCGAACGGGGCGGAGCTATCTGTTGTTATTGTTGTACACTTGAGATTTAATAATTGGAATTATTTTTTTAAAGTGAATCTTAATCACTGTCACTATGGAAGGCAATAAATAACAATGAAGAGACGAGAACTGACAAGACAACAAGAAAGAGAAAAGATAGAAAACAATGGTGATGTACATATATTATGTATATGTTGTTCACGGCTAATATATTTCTTGGGGACGATAAGTTTCTGCATATTACTGCAACAGTAGGACAACTTTTAAGCAATCCAATTGAGAATTCGAATTCATGTCTCAAGGTATCAATGTGCCGCGATCGTAGCTTGCACCAGGTCAGCCGTGAGGTCGCACACTCCTCTAGTTCTACAATTTTTATACATATACTAGCGACCCGCCCTCGCTTCGCTTCTGAAGCATTAAATTATATTATTGATAGGCGAAACCCGCCATGTTGCGCGCGGTACGACAATAACTGCGGGTGACGCCGCGGGGCGAAGCTAGTCTAAAAAAAGTAGCCTAAGTTACTCCTTACATCATCAGCTACCTATTAGTGAGTCTCATCAAAATCAGTCCAGCCGTTCCAGAGATTAGTCGAAACAAACAGACAGACAGACAGACAAAAATTGTAAAAAATGTTATTTTGGTGTATGTACCGTATAAATATTCATAATAATATGCATGTAGTAAAAAGCGGTTATTTCAATATTACAAACAGACACTCCAATTTTATTTATATGTATAGATATAAAGATAAGCATTGACAGTTTGTTTGTTCCAGAAAATCTCTTAAACGACAGAGCTGATTCTGATTACTCTTCATTTATAGGTAGAGTACACAGATCATAGGTAGATAAACGAGACAGGTTAGGAATTACTTAGAGTTGCCGCGTAAAAAGAAAATAACCAGAATAAAGATGAAAAACTTGAAGAAATGTGAATTGTTTTTGTGACACACTTTTGTTAGCTTCTACAGTGGGGTAATGGAATCTTTGAACGTAATTTTCACCACAACTAAACTAATTTAATTTGGTTGCTTAATTAAGAGCATTACTTAATTTTTGAACTGCATATATTTTTTGTTGTTCTATATAACTTGGCTAATATCCTGAACAGTATCAATAGGATGAAAAAAAAAAGTTGAAATCAATAGTTCGATTTTGCTAATAGAGCTAATTTTTTTTTTTGTAAACTACCTACACTTACTGATGTTTTCTTTTCTGTCAAGGTCAAATATACGTTAGAACCATCTCAATTAAAATTCAGGGTCGTTGAATGAATACCAATAGATTGACGTAATCCCTCGACAAGAAAATGGTAATTTCTAACGTAAAATTTTATTGATGCTAAAATAATTTCTAACTGCCTCTGATTGAATTGAATTTTTTATTGATCTGAAGAAAATAATGATTAAATATGTAAGTATAGGTATCAGTTCAGAAGTTTAATACATTTTTTTACAGAATGTTTTAGTGTTTTTTTTTATTGCCGTATAGGCAGACGAGCATACGACCCACCTGATGGTGAGTGGTTACCGTCGCTCATATACGTCAGCAATGCCAGGGGCAGAGCCAAGCCATTGCCTGCCGTTTAGCTCTCCATAAGCCTCGTTTGAAGAAGGACATGTCATAACGCTCGGGAAACACCGTGGAGGGGGGCTCATTCCAAAGCCGGATGGTACGTGGCAAAAAAGATCTCGGAAAACGCACTGTGGATGAAAAAGTGTTATCAAAGATGGCAATCGTTTTTTTAGTGCATTAGATACCCATCTACTGTTTTAGTGATATCAAATCCCATCTACTGTTTTAGTGATATCAAATCCCATCTACTGTTTTAGTGATATCAAATCCCATCTACTGTTTTTAGTGCTCTCAATTCCCATCTAGTTTATGATGTGTTTATCGCAGTATATTGGCAGTATATCCTCCGCTTATACCTGAGCTGGAATCCCACAAACAGATTTTCTTAAGAAATACATTATAATTTTTT